GGAAATTGTAGTGCTTTTGGAGCTTGAAACATACTACAGACAAAAAGATCAGCGTACCTCAGCCTCTTCGATGTAGTCCATTCTTCATTTTTTTTTATGTGTCTCTTGTGATCACCTTACTTTATGGAAGTAGGCTACTATACAAAATTACTGGAGTGTGCTTTTAAGGCCAGACATGGCAAGCAAAAACATTTGTTTTTTAAGCACTAGTCTATTTTGAGATTTTGGACTATTTTGCATCTATAACATTTTCCTCTTTCAGACTAGAAAACGTTCAACAAATGTGTTTATTTTACTACACTTCTATTTGCATCTGTAGTGAAGTGTGTGTGTGTGTGTGTGTGTGTGTGTGTGTGTGTTGTTACTGTGGTTCTATTCAGTTTTGATGCGTTTCAGATGTATAATGGTGTTGCCACGGATCTGACTGTTTACAGAGCAGTTTACAATACATAGGTCTATCTTTAACATTTTATTCCTAAAAACATAGTGAGAATGGATTTTGTTATGGCCGCTGACAGAGTTTTCTGATTTATGGAGTGATGAAAAGAGATTAATTAAAAAGATATAATTTCCCTCTGTAAAAACTTTTGATTCTAAGATGTCAAGAATTTTGAACCTGGCTTTATCCAATGTTCAGTTTTCTGTTCTGGGAATGTAGGCAAACTAGCACATATTTAATTAGACAATGCATGATTTGCATATTTAAACATAAAATTTCTGAAAATTTGTAATACAAAAATGATTTGCATTAATGTATGTAATAAACTGGGGAAGCTGGTAATTTTCACCTATTTTCCCTAATCACCTGTAGTGTCTTGTCCTAAATGTAAATTCTAAAGCATAAACTGGGCAAATATAACCAAAACTATGTGCATGCAGTAGATACAACTGGGAAAACATTTAGGATGAAATGAGAGTGTTTACATTGTTTTTAAGCCCTATATTTTTAGCATGGACGGTCAATGTGGGAATCATACCTCTTGCCCATGCTGAACCCATTAGGATACATACTAAAAAAACTCATTAATGAGATACTCATAGTGCAACCAACCTTAGAGATGACTAAGTGGCATCACTTCATGCACTGGTTGATAATTGCCTGCAGTTAATGGCTAGCGATGCATGAGCAGAAATCTAGATGAGTCCATTAAAATGAGTGTGTATCACAAACGGTAACTAAGTATGCGTGAGCCTTGTAAGGCTCAAGGCCGGCAGCTGGGTTTCGACATAGTGTCTGATGTGTGCGTGTCTGTGTGTGTGTGTAAACAGAGCTTAGATGTATTAATAGGCAAGCTACGTCCGTGTCTTAAGCCACTTACGAGTCTTCTATCTTCTTGATCAGACCAATCCAGCTACACCATCCCGCCGTGCTATTGTATGACATCACAGCAGGTCAGCCGGTTCCTAGGCAACTAGATCAAATCATCATAGAAACTGGCCAATGTGAAGAGCCTGCTGAGAAATATGAAGTTGTAGTAACCCCAAAGCAGAGGGGAGGGGGCTAAACATAGCACCTAGACCTGAGACAGTGAGAGTATCAATATCACAGTGGGGGTGGAACCTGATACATTCTCTCTCACTCAGTTGTTCGTATTACAGACAGAAATATGATCTCCAAAACAATTACAGTAGAGTAAGTTCTCAGTGGATAAAGTGAGTATATGGCACATATCAGATGTCACCTGTCATGTGTCGTCTCATGTCTTTCTCCATCTTTATCATTATTATCACTTCTCTCAGAATCCAGCCAAATAGGAAATTATGTAACAGCTTGTTTTAAAAAACCAAACATCAACACCTGGCAAACATGCAGGTGTATACACTGCTGATGGGTAGTGACCCTCAATGCATACTTTTTTGGTACAGACTGAAATGTGCTAATAGCAAAGAGCATCAGAAACAATCAAGTGCCCAAACAAGGTATTCATTTGTAATTGTGCCAGTTATACTCAGTAATTTATATGCAAAGATCTACACAGCTGCTTTTGTTTAGACAACATTTAATATTCTATAAGTTTTGGTCCCTTTGTGAAATAAAAAAAGGGTTTGGTAGAAACATACTCCTCAAAGCTAGTAAAACAAAGGTATCGTTTGGGTTGATAACAAAACAATACTGTTTGCAATACCAAAACTCAGTTATCATATTAGCAATAGTATTGAAAAGCCAAGTGCACACTCAGTCGCAAATGCATTTTTAAACACATAAATACACACATAAATGAAGAGGAATAATAGGAGGACTGACAGTAGACCATAGCAGAAAACAGACTCTCAGCTGAACTCTCTGCCCAAATTCAGATGCAAAAAACATAATCTATTATTCATCTCAGAACACTTCAGCTGCAGTATTTCAGAAAAACGGCAAAATAATGAAAAAAACAAAGTAATTGCATAAAGAAAATTGATGTAAACTCTCCATGAGAACGCTTGGAGACAAAGAGAAAGAGAAGAAGAATATGGCTGTGGGGATGTACATATACATCCTGCACCACCGTCTATGGCCTCATTACAGGGGTTAATGAAGGGAAAGAGCCTGAGCTCCGGTTCTCATATGCTCTCTCTCTAGGCTCTGAGGCCCTGCTGGGACTCAGCGTAACTAGCAGTCAGGCCCAGAAACCCACTTCTGCCGTAGTCTCAATGACTGACATGGATCAGCTGAGGGCAGCAGCCCACACACACACAAACATGCACGTACACATGCATTCACCTGTGCACACACGTACTCTACTTAATCGTTAAAGTAACCATATCCCAGTGCGCAATCAGGTAATTACCCTTAGCACGCTGATATTCAATAATGTATATTTAAGTACCATTAACATACAGTTTTTCACTAGTCATTCCATCCCCCCATCATCCACATTCATATGGTATTATAATTTTTTTAATTCAGATGTATATGTTTGGTATATATCTCTCTGGTATACCAAAGCCTGATTCTGTCTGTGTAATGGCGAAGTTAACATGGATTAACCATATTTAAGAGGGGTAATTTTGCTAGAGGCTTATCTAGCTGATAACCTTGTAGCAGATAGACCTATCATCTATTCAGAAACAGGAGGCTGTTCAGGTCTTCCTCTCCTGCATGAAACACACACGGACACTCAATCCTATGCAAAGGTGATCTGATTCAGTCTACTACCTACTTTCCAATGTGTTTCTTCAACGTGAAATATCATCTACTCCCCTTTTTTGTTCTCTAAATAAAATAATCACCAACGCAAACTCTCTTGCATTAACCCATGCAGGCATACACAATCACACATAAAAATGAGAAGGAGTTGGTTGTGCACTCAGCCCAGCCCAGCCAATTTGGCAGCGAGCTGTTACCATGCCTACAGGACAAATCAATACTGTGTCTAAAAATAGCATAACCATACTAGTGGTACTTCCAATCTAAGAGGGGTGAACCGGGGGAGAGCAGTATTTATTGTGTAATCTCCAAGATAACTGTAACCAATGGCAACCACAGAGTTAGTGGGCATTGTGCAAAAGCGTGAGTTTAATCCCCAGCAGGAGGTTTCTCAAGGAAAACCTGATCCTAGGATTTTATTGGCTGGTGCCGGGATCTAAAAGCAAGTCAGCTCAGGAAACCTGGAATGACTTCCTACTAGGTTAACAGTGAATCATGGACTGCATGGCTTCGGAGACAGGATGGCATGCTAGTGCCAACACATTGAGATTAATCTTTAGAACTGAGATAAATAGCAACACAAAGTTCTAAAATGGCAATTAAGAATGAGAAGCTCATAGGGCAAAGAGCATATTCATGAGAATGAGTCACAAATTGGCCATTTAGCAGATGATAACGGCTGTACGACACAAAATGGCAGGACGCCCTTGACGTCAAACACAATCTGTTTCAGAATAATGGTGTCATTCTGATGCTACTGCCAGGGGAAAAGTGGTTCTGTGTCGCTACATTCAATAACTTGGAGCTACAACATGACCTAGAGAGAGGCAGAGAGCGGGGAGCAGATAGACAGAGAGACAGACAGACACAGTGATGATGAGAAATGACACAAGAGATGGAGAGGTGACATGATAGACAAACAGGAAGAGACCAGAGAGCTAAAGCATGTCACAAACATAACCTGAAACCCTGACATGCCCTCGGAGACGCTGTCTCTCTCTCTGTGCCTTCCCTTCTTTGACAAATATACTCAAACATGAACACGTGCCAACACAGACAGAGATTTGACCTTATTCAAGGCCAAGTTCAGTGTCATTTCCACATACATGGGACCATTTCATTTCAGTGCTGTAGTGGAGAATACATGCATGCATTTGCATCCATACGTGTGTGTAAAGAACTGCTTTAAAGTGTGTTCTTTTTATAGTGTCTCTCTCCACAGCTGAGAGAGGGAGCTGAATAAGTGGGTGGACTATCAAGGGGGCCAGGACTGATTTATTTCTGTGTTCGGAGGCAAAGCTCTGGCACGCATTGCTACAGCGTGGGCGAGAACCCAGGCTCCATTCATAGATTTCTCTCATCTTTACCTTCTCTCGACCTCTTTTGGTCTCTTGTGCCGCTCTTTCTCGCCACAGCTCTGGCAGCGAAATGGGGACACAAATGTTCCGCCATTCATTAAAAGGCTCATGAAAGAAAAATGAGAGTCTGGTCATTAAATATTTAGCCATTTTGATCCTTCTATCAGCCTGTTGATCTTTATGTTCCCTCTTCAAGCAACACCAATGCACCAAACCACCGCTGCCATTAAAAGAAGGATGGATGAAGCTTTCCATTGCGCATAAAGCCATATCCAAAACAGCAGCATCAGAAAATGTCAGTGTCTGGTCTATTTCTCTCAATGGAACCGCTCATCATGTGTGACACCTGCAACAAAACATCAGCTCCCCACTGATTGCATTACCAGAGACATCATTTAGACTGGAGAAACACTGCTACCTTGAATGACGGCTAACAACCAGCAATGCCAGCCATGATAAAACCAAGTAAAAGATACCATGAAAAGGTGTGTTGCCCTCCAATTTCTCACCAGTTTTCCCTCCAGGGTGTAGATCTTCTTCACCACTCCAGAGTCGAGCTTGATGGCATCGGTGATGTCGGTCAGGACTTGTTCGTAGGAATGGGCCGTTTTCTTGTTCAGCAGGATCCTCACAGCTTTGCGGGGCTTCACACCGCTCCGCACCACTGTCACAAGCTTTGGACGAATGAAGTCCTTGATTTCGCGGCTCTCGGGGGCACCGGCCATGGCGCTGCCCAGGGAAGGAGGCCCGCGGGAGGACGCAGCGGAGGCCTTGACGTTCACCGACCAGTTGGGGTTCACGTTTTTTGTGTAATCCAACTTTTTGTACGCTTCGATGGAGCTGCACACGTAGCTGTCACCTGTTGGGGTTAGGGAGGAGGAGGGGAAAAGCAAGGAGAGATTACTCACACAATCGCTGGATGAAATTAGATGCAATTTGGAAATAAGGAGAATCTCTTGAGAGAGTGCAAACATGGTGAAGATTGTGAAGAATGCAGCCAAGAATGGTAAAGAAGGAAGTAGACTACAGTAGCATAGGCTGGCTACTTTGCTCTGTGCAACATCTCTAAACCAACCATAGTATTCTAGCAGCAGGCAGCATTGATAAATAGATTAAAACTTAAATATACTAATATAGGATATTTTGAAGCTTGCTGTTCTTCCTATATATATATATTTCTAAACCCATATTAACCAAAGATGATGTCAGTCAATTTATAGCTCTTCCCATGTCACTTCTTAGAGAGTAAAACAGATCAAGAGAGCTAATCTGAGCTAAAACATAGGTCTGTGTCACCATATGGTCATCAAATGAGTGGTATAATCTTAATAATAATCTGCAGTGTGCTAAGAGATTTTTATAGCGCAGTGCCCATAAATAAATCTTGTACAGCCATATTTCATGTAGGCATATTATGGGTGGTGATAAGGCCATGAGTCCAGGGGGTCACCACTTAAACTTGCCACTCTGAAGGCAGACCCCACTTGTGCTGATAGGCTTTATAGCCTACCCACCTTCTACCAGCTGGTCAATAGTGGTGATCTTCTTGGAGCCATCCAGGGTGTAGATGGTCCGGACGCCCTGTGGCAGGTTGACGTTGTCGGACAGGGAGCGGGTCAGGTCCGCAAGCAGGGCGTCAAAAGTCCGGAACCTGTCTGTAGAGATGGCGTACACTATCCCATTGAAGTACCGGTCTCCGTTGCGGTAGAAGCGGACCTTCTTAGCTCTCTTCTCCGCGGTCAGCGTCTTCAGGGTCCGGGTCCGGTACAGGCTGCAGTGGGCGCTGTGCGTGGGACTCAGCATCCCGTTCATCTTCGCACTGGACCGGCTGTGTCTCTGACCTTTGTCCCGGTCGTCGAAATGCTCCATCTCCATCTCGCTGCTGAGGCTCACAAGTACGGCTGTACTGTCTGTGGGAGACAAACAGGGGGGAGGGGTAAGGCTACGGTGAAAAGTTTTCACCACCGGGTAAGAAACAAAAACAAGAGGCGCAGAGAAGGACGACACCAAAGCGAGGAGAGGTTTGGATGGCTGATAAAGTAGCCAGCCGGTGTCCGTCGCTGGTGCGCTGTCTGAAAATAACCCCCTAATGACAGATTAAGTGCTGTTAAGCCGAGCAGCGGACAGCATGCTTCATGACGACGCAACACTGCCTGGCACAGTGCGCCTGAGTTGTTCTGAAGCGCAGATGGATGGAGAGAAGGCGGCAGTCACGAATCGATAATAGCCATATTAATTTCTCTCTTTATAGGCTAAATATTCAGAACCTCCGCGCTCACCCGGACAAATAGCAGGCTTCAGTTCCCCAGAGAAGAAGGCGACCCCCAAAATAATTAACCTATAATTAAACAATTACCTATGATAGATAGCCTTTACTACTTCACTTTCTCGTTTTGACTTCAAGTGGCGTGAATCGCTTGAAAAAGAAACGAGAAGTGTTTTTAAAGAATAAATTAAAAAAGAATAAATCACTTGTATGGGTTGATAATTGACAGGCTTACCTACGCGAGCAATTAACGCTTCTTTGACGGTCACCTCCAGTCTGACTGGTGTTTTATTTCCCAGTATGTGGAGAAAAAAAGAGTTCAGTGAGCTTTGTCGCTGACAAGGGATGGTGGTAACGTGTGCTTCTATATCCTGGCCCCCTGTGCGTCCCTTTGTTGTTTGTGATGTGCTCCACCACCACGACACCAGTGTGTGTGTGTGTGTGCGTGTGTGTTTGTGTGTGTGAGTATGTGTGTGCGCGTAGTGAGCAAGAAGCAGAGGCTGGACAGAAAAGCAACTAGGTAGCAGCTGCTTCCCCTCCCATTCTCTTTTCACCCACCTCCTCTTTCCTCCTCCACGTCACTCTGTCGTGATTTTCATTCAGCCCCCCCCCCGCACCTCATTAGGATGCAAACCCACGCTTCCCACACGTGCTGGGGATGCTGCTGGTCCTGCACCCCCACCCACACCCCAAGGCACGATTGGGATAGGGGTCGATCTTTTCTCTTTTATGGAAGATTAATCACTGATACCTTAACTGATGTATTCATTTAGTAACTCATTCATTTTCATCAAAACAAGTATGTGCTATAATTGTTGCTGTGTAAGGGCTAATCATATCACTAAAACCTTGAGACTAAGCACAGAGCAGCTTTGTGTTTAACCCACAAGAATATTTGCATGTGAGATGATAAGTAACACACTTACTCCAGTGTATACACCAGGGGTCTCTAAATTACCAGCCTCAGACCATGCAGAGCTGCTTTCACAGGGACCCAAATGCAGTGTGACAAGTATGATTTTTACTCATTTTAAGTTACTATTTATTTCTTGAATGTCTCAAGTGGAATTACAAATGATTATAACACATTATGTTGAGTTAGACAGGACTCCGTAATGCAACACAAGGGGAGGGAGCTGAGAGCTGGAGAGGATGCTGCTGTCTCATTATCATCAGTCTGACTCTTCCTACAAGCCCGGAAGTTTGTTTGCATGCAGGAAATAGTCTCCCCGAGCAATGGTAGAGATAAAGACCACTGACCTACATCCTGGACTCCAGAGACCACTCAATTCTGCCCCATCACCACTCCCTGATGAACCATATGAGTGTGTGTTTGTGTGTGTTACCCAGCATTTATGTGTGCCAGTGATGGTTAATATACACAGCCTCTTATAATACTATCTGTATTATAGGCTGAAGACATTGTTTAACGTGTTGAACTTTATCATGTAACATTTTTCACTTTCTTTGCATGCTATGTTTGTGACATTTGTCTAATGCTTGTTTTAAAAAGGTCACCTTTCATAATACCATCAAGTTCATTTAATCCATAACTGATAAATACATCAGACATTTTAATGCTCAAATACTGCAGTTTATAAGTGACTGCTTCCATTCTCTGACCTGCTTGTTTAACTTCAAGCACATGAATGCATCAGAATCTGTGACAGCGACAGAAAGAAGAAACACAGATTTTTCTATTTTGGGGAGACACCTATGGACCCTGAGTGCGACACGATATAAGGTCCTGACAAGGTGTTCCTGTCTAAATTTGTCCTGATGAAACAGGGCCCTTGTGGGGGAATGTGTCTTTAGACCAGTGCAGGAAAGATGGAGGACACGGTGAAGGACTTGGTCTCATTTCCATTCTTAATGCCTAATAATTTGTAAGTCAAATCTAAATTTGACAGTGTCCACCTGTATTCAAATAACAAAAATGAAAAAGTTAAAGCAGTTTAAAAAAAAATAGAGAATACAAACTGTTTATTTGCATCCACATTTGTATCAGTGTTGAAGCTGACTATTACTAACCAGCCAAGATGAAATCAGAACGATATAAGTTTGGGAATATTGCATCCATATGAGTAATCATAGAGGTCATCTTTGCTCCTGAACCATGACTAGGCAATTTCCTAAGATTCAATTGAGTTGTATATCAAAAGATGGAGTATTTTGGCATTTGTGACTAAGGTCTAAGTGTCTTTGCAGGCACATTTTATTTTATTTGTAAATGTAACTATAGCTACAGAGCACAGTTAATGAGGATCGGGCAGTTTTATGAGCTGCTGTGTCTTCTTGTCCTTAGACTCCTGACTGCAACTTTTTGACTTGCTTCAGAGACAAAAAAAAACACAAGGAAAAGCACAAACAGCAGTGAAAGTCCTTAAAACTATAACAGAAATAGAATAAAACTCAAGTAAATTCACTTGCATGTTTAGCTCAAGGGTATGCAAGCATGCACACTTGCAAATGAGTCTCTTATACACACAAGTATGAACTTGCACATACACTACATTGTTTGCAGCATACACACGTCGAGTACAGAGAGAACAGCTAACTGAGTTAGCATGGGCAGGCAGCAGCAGCGCGATTCATGGTGTTTTGACAGATACTATAGTGATTTGTCACTGTGTTTCACCTGTCAGCCGAAGATCTAGGTGGTTACTCCATGGCTGTGTGATTCATGGGGCAGGATGCAGTGAGTTGTACTAAAATGAGCGTGTGCATGAAACAGAGCAAAAGAGAGAAGGAAGAGGAGGAGGAGGAGAAGAAAGTGAGAGAGTGGTGCGCTGTAAATGTGCTCACTCTTTCATAAGGCAACACGGCTATCTTTAAATTAAGTCATTAATCTAAGACCAACAACCTGTCACTGAGGCACATTTAGGATTGTACACCATGTCAGCCAACCATATCAGAAATGTAAGTGGACGTGTAAAGGGAAAATACACCCTAAAACAGAATTCACACTGCGCTGTACCAATAGTTTTAGACAGTAAAGTCAATACCAGCAAACACAAACAAATGTCTCCTGTAGCTGGGGATAGGAGCATTGGGATTTAGATTGATGGTGTCTTCAGGTGAGTTTTTGGAGTTTTGGTTTTGGTTTATTGGATGAATGGGTCAATAAAATAGGGACTGACTCTGTGGGATTGTAGAATAATTAAGCTTAAAAGGTGTCAATTACAAAATGTCCTCCTATATATTATACACTGTCTGTGCTGATGTCTCTGTGTATCCTCTTCACTACAATCTTATGTTCAATTTAGGAAAGACCTGTTTTGGGGTGGAGCACTGCTATCAGGTATTTTTATTTCACTAAAATTATTTCATTAATTCCTGTAAGGTAAATCTTCTTCACAGCAAGTTGATGGTGGTTGAACTTTAAGTGCCAGTGTCAGTGTTATGGGACAGTTAAGCTGGTCGGATGCTTGATCTTTGCCCTTAAAGGCCACTTTCCTCATCACTACCATGCCAGCCCTAGAATGGTAGAATAGGTATTTCATAATTCACCTGAACTATTCTTTTTCTGTAACCTCTATGTCTCAAAAGCTAATTTCAGGCCACAATCCACGAGTTAATTAATACGACATCGTACCTACAGACCAATCAATGAACAAGGAAGAAAAAGCTAAAGGGACAGGACACAATGAGGAATTCATGCTTACCATTGCTTATTCGTTATGAGATATTGTTTCAATTCATTGTTTTTATGCCGACAATAACTGAACCCATCTTCCACAATTGTTCACAAACAACTGAAAAAGCTTCTGGCAATGTTCCCTATTCACTACTGCAACTCATATGGATACCGGTTTCTTACACCTACATTCATAAAGGCGGTCAGTGGGTGGAGTGGGGGTGACTGGTTGCACTGTGGATGATCCACATATGGAGAGAGTTGTGGATCGTGATGCTGCTTACGTAATGCAAGTCGTAGGAGGTGCTTTTATTTGAAATTGCAGTGACCACAGAAATGTCAGACTCAGCAAGCTTCTGGCACATTAGGAAATGGCCTCACAACATTCAAAGCCCCTAATATTCCCCCCTCTTGAACATTTCTCCAGTGGCTACTCTTCTTGTTAAAACAAAGAAACATTTAAGAAAATAATAATGCCAGACTTCATTATAAATGTAACATTTTATACCATGAGATCAGAGTAAAACTGTATTTGCCTCCGATTACAAAATAAACACTGAATTACAATACTGACTGTGGCACATGGGAAAAAAACCTTCACAGGAACTGCATTGTTTCCTCGAAATCAGCTTTTGAGTAATGTGAACAAAGCCACCGGAAGCTGAAGGACATACACTAATACATTCTTGCACTGAAACTAGCTAAGTATATGGCAATTTTTCTACTGCAATCATTCCAGCATACCCAGTAGAGAGCAAAAAAAGGGCTATAACACCAGCTTTGGGTTAGGGGTTGTGTTTCAGATAGTACTTTAAGGTGGGTAACCTGCTTCCCCTTTGGGATTTCTTCTCTTCTCTCTTCCCTGATGTTGCTCCACCACCTCCTCCTCCTTTCACGCATACTCCTCCATCTTCATCTCTGTCTTTTCCTTTATTATCAGCCTCTGCCTTCCTGCTGGTCTGCTTCTCTCTATGCAATCAGAAAATATAGATAGTTTAGCAGATACACAATTCTTTCTATTAAAGTGTCTCAAAAATAACCAATCCTGCAAATCCTGCAACAATAATTTTCAATGAAGAGATATCTTAAATTTTATTAATTTATTCATTCTAAGCCAATATGTCCAGCATGATTACTTTATTAGCTACAAATCAAATCAGTGCACTAACTGCAAAATTAGGTCTGATCCCAAAATGAATGGATTTACACAGAAATTCTAATATTCACAGTATGTCACATAGTAAATGTAGTTGTATTTTCCCTTTGGAACAGCTCTTATGTTTTAATGCAGTGCATTAAAGCCATTATTTGCAGTTCTAACATTAACTTCAAAACCAAATAAAAAAATTGGTAAAATGCAGTAACTATTTTCTTTGATATTTGTGCGTGACTTATATGTCATTAGTGTGAGAAGGTTTTATTGTGATCTGCCAATGGACTGCAGATGAAAATTAGCTCTCTGCTAACTCAGGTAAGATACATCAAAAGGTAAATGGCAGCATTTATTTTGTATATAAAAATTGTACACGTCCCCTTATGAATAAATCAAAAGTGAAAATAAAAACAAACAGCTATTAAAATAAGGCATTCAAACACGTGAAGCTTATGATGTACAATCAGACCTCAGTTGGTTCACTGCACACTGTTGTTCATATTATTCTGTCCATCACCTGTTAGCATTGTGCCTCACTGACCTCCTCTGTTTGCCCTCTGGTGCCCTCTGTGGCTGGGTGGAGTACTGTCTTCTTTGGGCTTCAAGGGTGGAGGACAGCTGTGGCAGCGGACAATTCATGAGTAATGACACTAAGTGCATAATAACATTGCGTTTATGCTGTTGTGTTCACAGTAGGCACAAGCCAGTCACATGCGGACATGTGCTACTTCAAATGTAAAGATTTGTTTCTGAAATGAGAGAAATGTAGTCGGGTTTCTTTTGCAGTTGCATTTGTTTCGGCCCTGCAGGGACCAGTAGTGTTACAGTGTGAGGCAGAAAGTCCTTGACTCACTTCCTGAACAGAGACTCACCTATTATATAACGGGAGAGAACAGCACTAGGATGAATGTGAAGTTCTAACTAGGCCTGAAAGAGAAGAGCTAGAGAACAGCAGACTCCTCACTGTATTGTCCCATTTTGTAGCACTTAACCATAACAGCTATACTTCAGAGTGGAGTGACTTATATTTTATATTCAACGACTGGTAGGCAATAGGTTTGATTTGAGAGCTACTTGTTTGACTTATCAGTGGTTATTAGCACTGTTGTTGACATCAATGAAAGGGAATGCTTACCTTAGCAATTTCTGAAAGGTACGCCCGCCTCTCGTCATTGGTTTTATGAAAAGCCTGATTTTTGAAAGAAATAGAGGTGCATATTGTCACATTTTTCCATTCATGGACTACACTTCTAACAGTCAGTAATAATCTGTCTGCTCATTGGTATAGCGCTTGTTCTGTTGCCTGTGTGTATTAGCGTGTATTTCAGGAGGTCTTCAGTGTTAATGAGCGACAGATTAGAACATGGATTAGTGGCTGCACATGCTACGCGTTAAACCTTTCATTCAGCTAATATCTCGCTGTTTGTTGAGCAGAACAATAAACAAAAAAACAAGCCACTAAGCTAAGAGCATACTGGCCTAGTCATTGCAGTACAGGACAAAGGTTGGGGTTCAATTTTGCAGCACTGGAAAAATAAAGAATGCTAAACAAAAATATCAGCAAATCTTTCCCAATCCTTTGCTAATGAAGGTAAGTTGTTACTGAAATATTTATCAGCTGGAAAAATGTAAAGCTGCTTGTCTGAGAAATAATAAAACCAGACCAGCAGACAAAAAAATCCCTCTATTTGCACGCTGTGAACTGGAGTGGCTGAGATCCACACCTTTCCTTCTTGTTCAATTCTGAGATGACAGTCCATCAGCTGACTCTGGACGTCAGACTTCTCCTCAGTCAGGAGCTTCAGGCGCTGTCTCAGGGTTTCCTGCCACAAAGTGTTTCCAATAATTAGCAACATTCCTAACAAAGAGGCCACAAATTATAAAAAAGGTGTTGCACTGCTGATGGTAATAACAAATCAATTTGTTCTAGGGCCACACTGTGCCATCTACCATGATCAAACAATAACAAAATCATTTGTGCAGAAAACATGTGCATAAATCTGGATTAGGCTCATACATTATTCAATAACCAAATAAACACATCTGAGCTGAGACATGGTGAGGCTACACAAGATTTCTAGCACAGATCAGAGCAATGAGGCTTGGTTTACACCTGGGTTTGGAACAGTTTCTTTCTTCTTCATGATCCTCAAAATAAGCAACTGTAGTCAGCTTTAATAAATGACACGGTAAGCAGTATGTTTAAAGATGCAGCATTATACATGCATCATAGCAGTTTTTTAGAAACAGGCTGGTGCGTTTCGATCAGCCAAAGTATTTAATTAAAAGTTAAATGTTACAGTTACATGAACATGTGCATTTGAATGTGGGCAAATACATGAATATGAATATTTAACCCTCCTAATCATTGACTCTGAAGCATCGTAATAGCACAGACATTTACTAATCAGACAAAGATTCAAGCTTCTTTCTTTTGAGCTGTCGACACTGTGACATGCTCTTGTATTGCTTGCTTTTACAGAACACTCGTCGTGACAGTTAGTCGCTGCACTCATTAAAAATAATCTATATTCTTCTCGCAGTCTATCTCAAAGTTTGATTACAGATCGTCAGTCCACAATCTTACAGTCGCTCCTTGGATACACTAATGAGCATCTGTTAGTTCTGCCTTAAGGCACACACACACACACACACACACACACACACATATTTAGACTGTTTGTGCAACCTTCCAGCATGTGGTGTGCTTTTACGTGTGTGTGTGTGTGTGTGTGTGTGTGTGTGTGTGTGACTGCCTTCTCCCCTTAGCCTCTGGCTCTCTCTGCTGGTAACAAAAGCTCACTAAATAACACTAACATGACAAAACGGATGAAGAAAAATCTCGATAGAAAGTGAACGTTTGCACTCACTACTGGCATGTCGTCATAAGATCGGATGGAGGCCAATCGATCTGTGAAAAAAAAAGAGCGAGCGTGTGAGCATTATGAGTGCATGCATTGAAACACAAACTTTCTTGAGCACTTGAACACTTTGTCGTCTGATTTTTGTACATTTAGGTTTTGTTATACATACAGTTAAAAGTAAAAATTGACTTCATGAGACTTCGGGGGCTTCATGGAGTTGTTGGTGGGCTTGTGTCTGCCAAACACCAGCCGTTCAGAAACGATGCAACACACAATTTATCATATCTTTCATATGGGAACAGTGTAAATGAAACAGCCTGATGTGCCGTGCTACACTTAACTGTGCATATAGTATTTTCATATGCTTGATATGTCAACAGCTCACATACTACATACCAAGCATCAGCCCTTTGCTGCTTCATGTACTGTGGATCTTGAACTTGCCTGAAAGCCGTTTTGGTATTTAAAAGTATTACTGAAGATGTACTGCAATGACACCACTCTTTGTGTGGAGAAGGTCAGCCATGTTGAGGTGTTTTAATTTTTGTGTAAAGCTTGATTTAAGTTAATCAGACCTAACAAACGTCCTTCCAGCATAAACCCCTTTAAAAGCTGGCACTAGCCAATGAACTTACCCATAGGGTGTCCTCGAAGGTCCTCCAGTCTCTCGAGAATGAGTGACATCTGTCTTTCCAACTGTCCATTTAGCTCTATCTGTGTCTCATACCTCGTCTTCCACTCATTTCCTGGCACATCAGAATAAGCAGAGGAAAGAAAAGGTCAAACAACACTGGGCTGATAGAAATCAGTGGATACCAGCTAGGCTAAAACCTTTGTTGGGTAACATGCTGCCACTGTGGGTCAAGATGACAGATATATAACAACACATATATTATGTATTCTAAAATGTGCCTCACCTTCCCCATCAACACTCTGCAGTCTGTCTTGCAGTTCACACATGGTGCTCCGTAGATCAGACACTGACCCTTCAAGCATTTCTCTATAAATAAGTCAAGAGCCACACAATGCTATTTTTGCAGTGGAAAATAACGTTTCAACTCCTTGACCACTTTGCAAGTAAGTTAACGTTAATGCATAAACTTCAAACAGACTTACTTCATTTCCCTCTCTTGCTCAAGTTCTTCCTGCAGGCGTGCCAAATCGTACTTGCTGTAGTCGCTATCTCCAGTCATGTTTGTGAAAAGCTCACGTCAGCTGAATAAAAGTTTGTTCCTCGGGATTTCCATGGAGACTGCTGCTTCCGGGTTTCTCAGTCGGCCTTGACTGGCGCGAGGTTTGAAAATAAAAGATAAATAAAACCTCCTCCTCGACACCACAGTACACAGTGTACGGAGGACACGACTAAATAACTTGTAAATTGCATTTTCTTCATACGGTAATTTTGCAAGCAGCCATTTTACGTAGCTCATTTCGCGCTTAATTAGGCCTGAACATTTAATTCCTTTATGTCAGCGTCTTAATTTAACAGTAATCGCCTATAAATGCTACTTGATTTGTCTTGCTATTTACAACTGGAAAACAACATATGCTAAAATTGGTGTAAGTCTCTGTGTGTAAGATAAGAGCAGATTTGCATGTTTGTTTTTAAATAGGTGATTATAAGAATCCATTTTTCCTCCCAAAATATTTATTGCAAAAAGTGAAATAAAGTTTACATGGGACATAAAGAAGTATACAGATCTTTGATTCGTGCAAAATCACGTATTGCATAAACATATTTTTCAAACATGTAATTTGTAATATAGTAACAGTTTGCTGTCCATGTAAAGTGAACTAAATGTCTGTGTGTTGTTTATATGCTTTGAAAATGCTAATCCAACACATCTTTGTAGCAGCGTCCATGTTGATTCCACATTCTGACACATGAACACACCTTTTTTATACACAGTCTATGGAAAACGAAAGTCAGAAGAAAGAGTCCACAACCTGGAAATGGGGGAGGTTCCGGTAAGATGGCGGTCCGTGCAGTCGCATCTCACTGAGCCCCTCGAGAAGTCCCGATGTTATAGTTAATTAAAAAGACATATCCACTATTAATTGCCATTTGTCCAGTTCTCTGCACGAAAATGAAGAAACATAACAGCGGCCCCCGGCGCAAAAAAATCTCCCATTTGAAAGCTGTGGGTTGATGAGTGTACACGACTATGCAGATATGGCTAACGCTAGCAAGAACAAACGAGGGCCGACAACTCCAGCGGAAACCCCCGAAAAAACACACCTGGAGAAGAAAACGAAAGGTTTGTCTCAAGAAGAAACAAACACAGAAACCATACTGAATGCTATCAACTCTCTCGGTCAACGTGTAGACGACCGCATGGATGAATTTAGCACGCAGTTGCAACAGCACAGCTCCATGCTAGCTTATATTGCTAAATCGGTGCAGTTCAATGCAGAAGAGCTAAAAGAGTGTAAAACGAAAATAAAACACCTGGAAAAGAAAGTGGAGACACTGACTAAAGAAAATGAAGACATGAGGGGTCGAGTACTGAATAATGACAGATACAAAAGACGGTGGTGCTTGCGCATCAAAGGGAAAAAAGAAACGGCTAATGAAAACATAAGAGAGGAGGTGGTGGAGCTTCTTCGCAGGATTGCACCGGACCTGGCGGTAAAGTGGGATGAAGCAGTCGACGTTGTCCACAGAGTGGGAAGAAGGATGGACAACCGGCAACGACAAATCATCATTTTATTTGTGCGACGAGCAGTGAGAGATGACATCTGAAGGCGAACAAAAACTTCACCGCGGTGAAATTAGTTTTAAGTTGGATATTCGACAGACATTCACCCAGGATCCAGTGACGGTTGTATAAGTGCGGTTAGCTCACCTCTGATGGCTCGCTTTTAACCAACGGGGGTTAGCTTAGGGACCATCAATAAATTACAATTGTGAGAACAGTGTTATGGGAAAATCATTATTTATTTCAATAGCTTCCAAGTCATGTGACACAGGGACTTCAAACCAATGCCGAATTGTAGTACTATACAAGGCAAATGAGACACACCCCTTCATATTTGATTTGAGAGCATATTCGACTTTATATTAATATTTATTCATAATTTATGTAAAATAATGCCTTTTTTTCTCAATAGCGTCCAAGTCATGTGACACAGGGACTTCAAACCAATGCCGAATTGTAGTACTATACTAGGCAAATGAGACACACCCCTTCATATTTGATTTGAGTGCATTTTTTATTTTATATGAATATTTATTTATATTTTTTCTTCAATAGATTCCATTTCAAATGATTCAGGGACTCAAAACCAATGCCGAATAGTACTACTACCTGTTACACATATTACACACCTCTTGTACAACTGCAGTTGTACCACACAGAGTCAGTCATTTTCTTCCACAGCATTGAGCAGATTTCAAAGAAACACTTTATTTACACAACGGACATTCCATGTCCACTACATGGAAGATATATGCCCCCTCTGTATTTGCTCAGAAGGCTGTGCCATTGTTGTGTGAGTGTGTGTGAACGAGTATTAGTTTCTTTCTCATCAGCAGTTGGCACCTTGCATGTATTTCTCTGCCATCGTTGTATGAATGTGTGTGTGAATGGGTGACTTATTTTTTATTTAGTGTAAAGTGCTTTGAGTGGTTTATTACAAACCAAGGTGTGTATACAAATCGGTTTGACCTTTGTGTTAGTTGACTTTTCCTCAGCCATACTCAAGTAGGTCTACAACACAATTAAACATGATATCAGTGCTTCACAACTCACCCAGTCTGTAATGGGGGGTCCAGATCCCGGAGGCCTTAAGACTGCACACATAGCACAACACGAGTGCTCATCAAAGACTGAAAAAATAATTACAATATATTATTTATTTAATTAAAGTATATTGTAGGTATACTGTATGCATGATTTACTGCATGTACCTGATGCTTCGAGGAGTTGGAGATCTAGATCTCTCCTCTTTATGGTTCACATAAAATAGTTTTTAACATAAAAATCAAATGGTCCAAACAAAATCTCCTTAAAATTCTCCTTTAACAACAAGCACACCACAGCTGCTTCCGTCTTTTTGAACTTTACATCCACCCAGTCTGTTTTGCTGTGGCATGTCCTTCTCATGCTGAAGTATTCCCTGAATAAATAAACATTAATACACTTTAAACAGATACAGTGTGTAGGTCAAAAGATAATATCCGATCACAGACATTTGGTACCACTAGTGAATAACCAATGTTTGAATTCATCTCATCATTGCAAATGCTTGAGGGACGGGGAGAGGGCAGTCATAAATATTAGGCTACTTTATATAAGTAATAAATTAATTTCTAAAGGAAGCTTAAGAACTCTACATTCCCATGCCAAATTCTTGTCAACCTTAATAGAGAAGTCATAGAAAGCATCCTGTGTATCCCATATATCTTCCATGTAGTGGACAACCGCTCTACATCTAAGCAACAGACATTGAAATAAATAAATAAATATATATATAAATATGTTACGAAAGATTTATTTTAATTCCACAGGTCCAGTGTGATGGCTGTGAACGGTGGTTCCATGCTCAGTGTGTGGAAATGGACAGCACACAATATGAAGAGGCAACGAAAGGAAACTGGGAATGTCCGTTGTGTAAATAAAGTGTTTCTTTGAAATCTGCTCAATGCTGTGGAAGAAAATGACTGACTCTGTGTGGTACAACTGCAGTTGTACAAGAGGTGTGTAATATGTGTAACAGGTAGTAGTACTATTCGGCATTGTTTTTGAGTCCCTGAATCATTTGAAATGGAATCTATTGAAGAAAAAAATATAAATAAATATTCATATAAAATAAAAAATGCACTCAAATCAAATATGAAGGGGTATGTCTCATTTGCCTAGTGTATTACTACAATTCGGCATTGGTTTGAAGTCCCTGTGTCACATGACTTGGACACTATTGAAAAAAAAAAAAGGCATTATTTTACATAAATTATGAATAAATATTCATATAAAATAAAAAATGCACTCAAATCAAATATGAAGGGGTGTGTCTCATTTGCCTAGTATAGTACTACAATTCGGCATTGGTTTGAAGTCCCTGTGTCACATGACTTGGAAGCTATTGAAAAAAAAGGCATTATTTTCCATAAATTATGAATAAATATTAATATAAAGTCGAATATGCTCTCCAATCAAATATGAAGGGGTGTGTCTCATTTGCCCAGTGTAGTACTACAATTCGGCATTGGTTTGAAGTCCCTGTGTCACATGACTTGGAAGCTATTGAAATAAATAATGATTTTCCCATAACACTGTTCTCACAATTGTAATTTATTGATGGTCCCTAAGCTAACCCCCGTTGGTTAAAAGCGAGCCATCAGAGGTGAGCTAACCGCACTTATACAACCGTCACTGGGTGAACTGACTTAAAAGCCGTCACTGGATCCTGGGTGAATGTCTGTCGAATATCCAACTTAAAACTAATTTCACCGCGGTAAATACTTCTCCAATCTGCAAAGAAGAGGGGATTCGTTTTACTGAAGATCTGACTCAAGAGGACTGGCGTTCCAGACAGGCTCTCTGGCCCAAAATCGACCAGGCTAGAAAGGAAGGAAAGGCTGCAGGCTTCAGGGGCCCGTTTGGATTCATCGAAGGCAAGCGTATTATGGAGGAGACTGAAGTTAGGGGATGAAACTAGTGATTAAAATGAATACATAGTGGATCAGTTCGGGTGATGGGACTTCTACCTCAAAGTTTTTACTCCACCTCCCTACTTTTTTCATTTTTTTTTTTCTCTTCACAAAAAGTTAATTTGTTCATGTGTTCTGTATTTCAGTTAAATACTGACCTTTCTTTTATTTCCTTTAATACAAGGGGACTTAAAGACTCAGTTAAGCGAAAAGCTGTCTTTTTGTTTTGCAAAGGGCAAAAAGCACATTGCACCTTTCTTCAAGAGACTCACTCTGATATATCTGATGTTAAGTTTTGGTCACAACAATGGGGAGATAAAATTCAGTCATGGGACAAATCGGTCGGCTGGAGTTGCCATATGTTTCAACAGATGCCCTGGTAAGATTCTGGGTGGAAAAGCAGACAAGGAGGGACATTGGGTAGCCTGTGTTTTGGAAATTGATGCTAATCTTGTTATTCTGATTAACATATATAGTTATAACAACGATACCAAAAATAGAAATCTGTTACATCAAATATCAGAAGTTATCATAGAACTAAAAGCAAAATTCCCCACAGATCATATTATTGTTGGAGGGGATTTCAATTTATCTCCTGATGAGTGGATGGATAGATGGCCTTCCAAGTTATTGAGTGAACATAGAAACACAATTTTGGAAGCTTTTGCTAATAATAACCAATTGATAGACATCTGGAGAAGTTTACATAGTGGAGTGAAACAGTTTACCTGGCATAAACCTAATGGTCAAAACAAATCACGAATTGATTATTGGTTGATATCAAACTCAATATCAGATCATGTCACAGAAACAGAAATTGCTAGCTGTCCTTTAAGTGATCATTGTATTATTAACCTGAAAATCCGAAACAGTAATAAAAATAACAAACCAAAAGATTATTGGAAATTTAACTCTCAGTTACTAAAAAACTCAGAGTTTTGTCATTCCATTAAAAAAATTATTTTTGATATAAAGAATGACAATACACTAGACACATCTATACTAAAATGGGAATTTTTGAAATTTAGTATTAGAAAAAGCATTCAATAACGTTTAGTAAAAAAGTGAATAAAGAAAAGAGAGCTCAAGAAGTAACAGTGGTTAAAGAACTCATGACACTTTATAGTAAATCAGATTGGGGTGAAGAGGACAAAGAAAAAATAAGTAATTTGCAATCCAAATTGGATAGAATGTATATAGATAAAGCTAAAGGTGCATATATTAGATCCAGGGCCCGGTGGATTGAAGAAGGGGAAAAGAATACTGCATACTTTTGCAAATTAGAAAAACGCAGACAAGAATATAATTCGATTTGTAGTCTTACAGTTGATGGACAAGAATGTACAGAACCCAAACGCATTGAAAAAGAAGTTTTCAATTTTTATAGGAATCTTTATAAATCTTCCTACTCAGAACAAGATGCCTCATCTTTTTTTGATCTAATTAACAACTTGATTCCTGTTATTGATGAAAATTTTAAAGAAGTTTGTGATGAGGAACTAAGAATTGTTGAATTTGATTATGCTATAAAAAAAATGGCATGTGATCGTTCGCCAGGTCCAGACGGTATTACATCTAACTTTTATAAACACTTTTGGGAAGACTTAAAACACCTACTGTTTCAGGCTATAAATGAATGTATTAATCAAAAAGAACTGATGCAAACTATGAAACAAGGAATAATAAAATTGATTCCAAAACCTGGAAAAGATAAAAGGATATTAAGCAATCTAAGACCTATTACACTGTTGAATACAGACTACAAGATTCTAACAACAGTTTTGGCAGCAAGATTAAAGACAGGTATATCTAAATTAATCAGCCCAACACAATCTGGTTTTCTTAAAGGAAGATTCATCCATAATAACATCCGCCTGGTCCTGGATCTTATTGATTATAATTATTTAATTAAGGAAGATGGTTTTATCTTTTTTTTGGATTTCCAGAAAGCATTCGATTCAGTGGAACACTTATTTATTGTTAACACACTGAGACACTTTGGCTTTGGAAATAAGTTTCTTGATATGATCATTATGTTGCATACGGATATTAATAGCTGTGTTTCCCTCTCAGAAGGTACATGTCCTAGATTTAAGGTTGAAAGAGGAATAAGACAGGGCTGTAGTATTTCTCCTCTTTTATTCATTGCCATGACTGAACTACTAGCAATTGCGGTTAAAAATTCAAATATTAAAGGTTTAGAGATAAACAACCACAAGTTACTCATAAGTCAGCTCGCTGACGATACAACTCTGTTTTTACAAAATAAGGAACAAATACCAGTAGCTGTAAAAGTAATAGAGCGGTTTTCACTAGCATCGGGTCTATATCTGAATCTGAGTAAATGTGAATTGATGAGCATTCATAACTGCTCTGAATCCTCACTATATAATATACCAGTCAAAAATGACATTAGATATCTAGGTATTTGGATTTCCAAACAAGTGAAAAAAAGAATATCCAAGATAATATTGATAAATGTGGAAAAACATTAAACAGCTGGCTACAAAGAGATTTAACATCATTTGGAAGAACGATGTTGACTAAGATTGAATCTATTTCCAGACTGATATATCCATCCTACTCTCTTGCTATTTCTCCAAAGTTAATTAAAGAAATTAATAGAATCAATTTTAATTTTATTTGGAAAAATAAACATCACTACATTAGAAAAGGAGATCTGTTGAAAAATTATGAGGAAGGTGGCATAAAGGCAATCGACTTTGAAATTATGAATGGAATATTGAAAGTTAAATGGCTCCAATCTTTTTTTGAGGAATGGTGAAGAGATATGGTTCTCCTTACCGGCATATATCTTTGATAAAGTGGGAGGTATTACATTTTTAATAACATGTGACTTTGAAATATCTAAATTGCCTATAAAACTTTCAACTTTTCAACAACAGGTTTTGTTACAGTGGAAACTGATGTTCAAACATAACTTCAGTCCCCACAATGTTCCATTATGGAACAACAGAGTTATATTGTGTAGAAGGAAATCTATGTTTCTGAAAGACTGGTGGAAAAAGCAAATATGGTCAATTGTTCATATATTGGATGGTAATATTCTTGAACTGGAGGAATTTAATTCTAAATATAATATTAACTGCTTAATTGTGGATTACAACAAAGTAACACAGAACATTCCAAAGGTCCTTATTCAAGCAATAAAGAATAATATTATGAACATTGCATCACCAAGACTACACAAAATTAAAATCGATTATGTGGACCTGGTAGATAAAAAATGTAATAATAAATTCCTTAAGCAAACTCTTGTTAACTGTTTGTACCCGGGTAGAACAAGGAGTACTTTCTTCTTTCTTGGTTATAACAAATATGAAATATCTTCAATTAGAACAAAATTCCTAAGATATCCAATTCCTCCTAAATTTAAGGAAGTACATTTTAAAACAATAAATAATATATATCCCTCTAATGAGTTTGTAAAGAAAAGATTCAAGTTTGAGGTAGACAATTGTCATATCTGCAACATTTATGTTGAAACAACTGTTTTATGAATGTCAAATGGCTCAGAATTTATGGAAATCTCTTCACAGCATGTTGTCCTCCAGATCTATAAACATAGATTTCTTTTCATATCAAAATATTCAGATGGGTGTATTTCTACAAAATAAAAATGATGAATTTTTGGTCAATAATCTAATTATAGCTACAAAATATTATATACATAAATGTCGATTTGCCAAGTCCTCCCCCACATGGTCTGCATTTAAAAATGAACTTTTGCTGTTTCAAAACTGTCTTAAAAAGGTTGAGAATGCCCAGGCTAAAAAACTGTATAATCGTTTAATATCACTTCAGATGAGCTGAGTCCCTCTTTTTGGTTTGTTTATGTTATTATTTTGTTTTAGTTTATTTTTATTGTTTTGAGTTCTTTCAGTCTAAGTTGTTCTCCCTTGTCATGTGAACAGTATAGAAAATGTCTTTTCAGATGATTTGCAGGAGGTGTGACTCTTAGTTTATAATACAATAAGATTTATTTTGTACATTTTGAGGATGTCATGTTTTTCTTCTTTGTCAGACGTCTTTATTGTTTATTGTGATAAGAAAAAGTTCAATAAAAAAACAAACAAACAACCTGGAAATGGGACCATCCGAGGAGCACGTGAATGCACCGTTAGCCGCTGGTTACAATATGTAACCTTCACCACTAGATGCCACTAAAACAAGTATTGCCATAGACTGTATATAAAAAGTATTACAGATCGCTTATAGAGTATTTGTAACATTTAAACAGCACATTAGATGAGATTCAATAATTCAACTATTTCACAAAGAAAACCGTTTTCTGATATTACTGTGGTTAAGGTTTGATTAGGGCTAATGTTAGTGATTTCATTTCAAATAATAGTATCTAAGCTACTATATCTTACCACTAGTAGCCTACAAAAATTTATTCCAGTTGAACAAAACAGCAGATTTATTTTTGAGGGTTGTTTGAAGGTTAAATTATTCTGCAATTGTTCTACGTGATGGTTAGTCAATAATTATAACAATTCATGCAGAACAAGGAGTTCCACATTTCAAAAGTTTGCTGTCATGTGTCCTTTTTTTAATGTCCCGTCCCATCCAGGCTTAGTTGGTTCACAAAACGTGACACTGACAGCAACTTTATGCACATAGATGCATGAAAAGCACCTGAGCTTCTCCCTACTCTGTCTCTGCTGAGCCCCAGAGAACCTGATATGGAGAGGGCAGAAGAGAGTTCCAGCAGCTTGTGAGAAGTGCCTGTATGTAAGAAGAAGTCCCGGTAAGCCAAAGAGTAAACTTTAGCCCACTTCAGGCACTGGTCCTCGCAAGTTTTGTGCTCGGGCCCTAATAATAATTACAGTTAATATGTGCAGTTTTTACTTTTTATGTACAAAATTTTAAAACATTTATATTACAATGGCCATATAGATCTCAACATACAGATGGTCAGTCATTAAATATGTAAATGAGGAGTTAATTCATCAAACTAACAGAGACCTTCAAGCAAAGCATTAAAGTCCTATTTTTTCTTTTCTTCCTCCTTCTTCTGGACTCCCTTCCCCTCAGTTTGTGCTGGCTGTAGATCCGGCCCTTTGGCCTTCGCTGACTGCTGGTCTGCAGTATTTAGGAAGGCTTGGAGGACCAGACTGTCAAAGTTGTATGCAGTCACACCAACATCAACCACTGACTGGATAGCAGTGTCTGTGGCTTGGCTTGCATCGTCACCATACCTTCACCACAAATAATATGGTGTAGTTAGGGTAGAGTGGTTTGGTGAAAGAAAATGAATGAGCATGTGTAGAGAATTGAAATGCTGGAGCAATGTTGTCATTCACATCAACACACCAAAGATCGTATTTCACTTTGTGACAGTTTTATTCGTATTAAACCAGGAAAAACAGGCTAAATAGTATGAACAGCAAAAGCTGCACCACCCAACACAAGCAGACATTTCGTAGCAGTTAACATAGCTCTGTAGACAGATCAAGAAATACACACTAACACCCACATAAGAGAAGCTTAAACCCAAAATATACTTTATTGTGTTTAAGTGAATCAAAAGAAGTCATTTTTGACACAATTCTGTGTTAGCTGCTGTATTAGATTTGGAATATGTCTTATTGAGGGTTATTTTCTGACTTAAGCTGGGTTAACGAAACTGTACATGAAAGGGTTGAGCAGGGTCAGCTGTTAGTTCACAAGTCTTTGTCTTTACTCTCGTGCAGTCATATGTTGCTGGGCATGTTTATAACATTCTCTAAGCCCCTAAATCTGAAAGGAAATATAAAGCAGATCAGTTTCCCAACGTACCAAGAAGAAAGCAACGCAATAGTACTGGAAATAGATTTAGAAACAAGATCTACAAAAGTCAACTAAAGATGAAAATTGCTAAATAGAGAAGTGGAAATGGGAAATGTCAGAACTTACTTGTACTTCACAGTCATGACAGTCTCTGATGCAACACTTTTGCCAACTACTTTTGCTCCAGTCTCCAGACTCGACCAAATAGTAGAGAGACCTGGATTGAATGTAAAGGATTTTTTTTTTTAATACTCAGAAAAGACTTGTATCACACATTTCAAATGCCAAAACATGCCAGAACATTTTGTCATTTTTAGAGCTAATGATATGATAACACTGTGGGAGATGTGATAGTATAACTTTATGCTTGATCATGAAATGATCCTACCAACCTTGTACACTGCTGGCTGCCACAAACTTGGCTCCATCGAAGTTGGAAGCGCGGCCGTCTTTGCTCTTCTTCATAGATTCTGGGACCAACTTAGCGCCATGTTTCTTCACATGGGGCGCCACCTTCTCTACCACTTGTCCTGCCACCTTACTCACTCCATTAACTGTAAATATACACAATTATACATTAAGAGCACATGTTAAGTACACATAGTATATAGGCATATTAATTTACAGTACAGGAGACAAAAGGGGAAAAAAAGATATCAGAGTTTTCTTCAGCCATGTGGCCTTGTATCGTCTGTATGAATGACTACTGTAGATCCTGTGTGGGATTTTAGTCCTTTCTACATTGGTTTAAGTGCTTACCCAAGAACCGGCTGACTTGCAAAGCACCCCCAGTGGTCTGTTTAGCCACCTGCAGACCTTTGGTGACACGGGGGCTGACCTGTGATGGGGTTTCCTCAGGCGTGATGTGGTCCCGCATCTTTGCTGCTCCTATATGAACGGCCCTACCAGTGGCCTCTGCTCCTTTTGCAAACTGTTGACTGAACTTTGTAGCTCCTAAAGAAAGAAATATGATGGGTGATAAATGTGCATTGGCGATATCACCGATTGTTGCGTTAACGAAATATCTATTTCAGGCAAATTAATAGGTGGTTGGACAAAATTTTCCTTGCAGCACTCATACCTACTCAGGAGAGATTGCTTCAATGGTAAACTATGCCCTCTAGTGGTCATTTTCAGACACAGAGGAAAAATTACTGTACTGTTCACACAGCCTGTGTAGTTTCATTATTAGGAATTGTATTACTTTATTACAAACAAACCTGACAAGATTCCCTGTGCTATCTTTTCACTCCATCCAGGAAGTTGTGGTCCGTCCTTCTCCGCTGTTGGCACTGTAAATCTTGTTTGCTCATTTGTGGGACCAAGGGGGATTTTCTCACTCAGGTTGATAACCTCTGACCCTGCCCCCTCTGGACCCTGTTAGGGAATCCATTAAGTCATTATAAAAGGACACCCAGTAAAATGGTTTAAATAGTACATACACCCAAACAGGCAACATACATTCCTGTAAGCCATGACTAAGCTGGCTAAAAATGTTTTACACAAAGCATAACAACTATTTTCTTCCTCCTGAAGTGTCAAAAGAGAAAAGAGGCACACGTGTTGTATGTCTTAAAGTACCATTGTATTTAGTTTTGCGGGCTTGACAAGCACTATGAATGTTTGTTGACGAACGTTTCGACACCCCCACCCAAAATACCATCTTTGTCTCTCCAAAGACAGAAAAACACCATACAACATATTATTCCAAAGCTTTGACTCCACCCACATGCAAACCCATCCTTACATTTGCTCCAAACTGACAGTAAGTACTCACCTGGACCCGGAGATCAGCGAGCTGTGATAGGAGGTCCTTAAATGTCTCGCGGTCAGCAGCTGGGAGTTCAGAGGACAACACTATGCCTACGAAGGACCCCGGCGTCTCTGCCAAGGAGTCAGGGAACATGAAGATCCCAGAGTTAGCCAATAGCACTGGAGTGTCTGCTGTCAGTGGGTACATCCAGTCACACACCTAGAAAACACAATAGACACACATAAATGAGGAGGTTGGAAATGATGAAGGCCTCTAGGTCAGAGGTCACAACCCATGTACTATCAATACCAAAGGGGTTGCACTCATTCTGACTGGTTGTAATTGGTTTAAATTAAAACACTGATGTACACTTCACGTGCACTGTTATGTTCTTCATAAGATGTGAACTGAAAACCATGTCCAATGCTTTCCCAATTAAGTAACAGGTGGTTTCTTTTGAGCCCCAAATGGTTAAGTCAACCGGTTTCTCTTTCAAGGCACGAAAATACATTGTCATTTCCCAGTGGGGACAGTGTCCCCAACTCCTTTTGACCCAGTGTTTTCCCCTCTCAAAGACACATTACAGGATTTTAGCCCCATCAGGACTTATGTCAGTCATCCACACAGACATAATACAGATACAGACTGGCTGTGGCATCGTGGCATTGGTATACCGCCTGACAGAATGACCTCTGTGAGGGCGCAGGACACTGACCAGCAGCACAACAGAAGTGCAAAGTCATCTGTTAATGGGACCATTGTCTTGTAGGACAAAGCAGGACCAGAATACAGCAGGAGAGCAGCCCACTAGCCTGGTCTGGATGGAACCGAGTCATGGGTTGCACTGCAGTATAGAGCAAGGCATAATACGCTCTTTGTAGAGGTGCCAGAATACATTATTGTTATTTATATGCATTATATTGACTCAATACAAAAATCACACAGTAGTCGCAGGTTGTCATAAGTTTTCAAATGATTATGATACACACAGGGTCAGGAATCCAATAGTTTTATTGTTTTAACATAGTAAATCCATTTCTTAGATTTGCAATGGGACAGCTCAATGTTATCAATTTAAAATTTAAGTTTCAAATGACTAAAATATATTCTAAACACTGTAAGAAAAAAAAAAAAAAGCTTCCGGCCAACCAATCTCATCGTCTACAGTGGAGTGTAACGGCAATTGTGACTACATGTAGAGCTGAAATAATTGGTCAATTAATAGATTAGTTGATTGAATGAAAATACTTTGATTATCAATTGATCTTTTTCAAGCAAAAATGTCAAAACATCCTCAAATGTGAGGATTTTCTGTTTTTCTCTGTTTTACATAACTGTTAACTGAATATATTTGTGTCTTAGACTGTCAACATTTGAAGACATAACCTCGGGCTCTAGGAGATTGTACCAGGTGTTTTTCACTATTCTCTGAGGTTTTATAGACCAAACCACTAATTAATACATCATTGTATTAATCGCTATTGAAAATAATGATTAGTTGCAACACTAACTGTAATGTCCTTAGTCAGGTAACGAATGCTGTTGCAAGTCAACTTTTAAAGCTCAATTTTGACATGTTTTACCATAAGATATGCAAGTGTTAAACTCATTATGGACAAGGATACATGTATGAGGACACATCACTGAAAATTTTGGGAGACTAGTAGTCAATCTATCTACCAACATGATGACTCATAGTTAATAACTATATTATAAAACTGGCCTAGTAATGAGGTCGTTTAACCTGGTATAGTTTACATAAACACACTGTACTTACATGTAGAAATGCTGAGAGTCTTCCAGCTGGGGCATCCTTGTGGTCACTGTCAGATGTGCTGATGCTCAGGAAGCCTGGGTGAGACAGGGAGCTGACCTGTCCATTTGCTGCCACGAAAAATATCTGCACCCCAGAGGGGATGAAAAGCAGCTCATTTCCATCCCCTCCTGCTGCTGCTGCTCCGGTCTGCTTTCCTGACCGGAGGCCACCTCTAGCAGGACCGTAAGCCAAACTGCGGTGGCCGACTGTTGGCTGTGGTGTGTATGCTGGAGGCTGGTCCCCTGGATTAGCCATGTCTGTAGTTCCTGTAGCTGCTGCAGGGAGAGTGTGTGTGTGCACAGCAGCAGGGGAAAGAGGCCAGACAGGGGGTGTTTTTTGATATGGGGTTGTGCTCTGGGTGATAGTAGGTATGGTGGGGTACAGATGGTGGAGGGAGCTTTGGGGAGGCTGACTGTTTGGTGCCAGGTCTGGATAAAGATTGGGAGAGAGATTCACCAACCGGTGGCATCCTGTTGTCAGCTGAGAGGTCTCCAGGTCAGAGAGGTGGGCGTTGACAGTCCTTAGAGTTTCCCTCATCCTCTGCTGAAGCTGCCTAGCCGTGTCCCAAGACACTCCCTGCTGTCTCTCCCCCCTAGTGGGAACCTCTATTCCTTGGGTAAGGTGCTTTAGACCTTTCCTGTAATACACCAGGGCCTCCCCTGTCTTCCCGGCTTCTTCAGCAGCCTGCCCGCGGCTCAGAGAATGACATGCCAGCTCATACTGGTCCTTGATGAGCAGTAGCTCAGCAGGCTCAGCCATGCCGAGGAGTGGACGAGATGCAGACACTGGAAAGGACAGAACAGATGCAGGGAGGAAATCAAAAGTGTAATCTCCAAAGTGAGACAAAAGTTACATCAGCAGTTTCAAGGTTTTTACAGTATTTTACGCTAATCCTAATAAATATTAGCCGTTGATTGGTTGTTTTTTATCACAACACACAAAATTTAAACACTGAATTTTTAATGGACTACAGTTAGGCTTAATATGGTTTTGAAAATAAATGCGTTGATTAGGTGGCTAGGAGACAGTTTTAAAAACAAGGTGTGAAAAGGAAACTAAATGTTGGTGGCATTCACTCTGACAGCATTGCAGCAGAGAAGACTTAATAATGTGACAAAAATCTCTGTAATGTAGCAATGTAATTGTTGTTGGCGGCTACTGATCAGGTTTTACCTGAACAACAAGCCTGCGTGTGAGCTATCTTAAGAAGTCCTCTCTAGACAGGAGATTTACATTTTAAAAAGCTGTTTATACGTTTATTCTTCATCTTGTTATCAAATATATCAAACAGCAAATGTTACCTTTCCGGACACCGTAACTGGTAACTTACCTGATCACTGACAACAAGCAATAAAATTCCAACTTAAATATGGCTTAGGCCTACCTTGACAGCCAAACTTTAGTATCCCGCAAAAGAAGAAAACAATAAATAAGTGGTTTCAGAGACTCCTTATTTTAGTGTTCGACACTAATTCTATACTTTCATTTAATCCGCGAACCTCCAGCGTCTGAGCTCGAGTTTCCATCAAACCGCAACAGTGACACTAATGGCTTCCGGCAAACACTTTCAAAATAAAATCCATAGGCTATGCGTTAAAATTGTAGTCATTTAAATAAAATAAAAATAAACTTTATTTAGAAGGAACACAAGAACAAAAAACATTTCCTCTAGGTGTAGTTATTTTATTTCCTATTAACTATTCACTCAGGGACGTGACATGTAGCATTACAATGAGACATGAAATGTGACACATAAAGCTTGAAAATATTTTAGAATCACTCTAAACGATAGTGAAGATGTTTATGATTTAACACTTATTTTTTAATTGATAACTTACCAGCTTTAAACACCTTTTGCATGAACACCTGCAAGTATTAAAATTCTTCAGATATGTTTTTTTAAAGTAATTTATTGTATATTTCAGCGTCCAGATGGGTAAAGCATGTAGCATCAGATGTGTTTGTTTTTGTTCTCAATCCTATTCTATTCTGGCACAAGTGTCATGAGAAAGGTGGAGCACGGACTCATAGGAAAGGCAGCGCAGCAGGTGGAGTGATCCATGAAACACGACAATACCTATGTATGGAGAGAAAAAAGAGCTTCACATAGAGATGTAAAATTGTGTCCAGAATGCATTAACAACCAAGACAAACTGCAAACTACACATAAACAATCCCCAAAACATGTAGTTTACATAATGTGATTGTAATGTTGTCTTAGTATATATATATTTATTTATATCTATAGATTAAAAGCTTACTTACTTTGAACTTTTATACTTTTCCCTGGTGGCCTGTTGTGGGCGACTCTCTGCACTGATGTATAGCTTGTGGAGGTCAGTCAGGCAGGGCACAATTTCACCCACGGTATATCCGGTAAAGGCGCGTAAGGAATCAGGCTAAAATATTTTAAAAATGGCCTAAAAAGTCATGTTATGGTCTAATTCCATAATACATTCTCATAAAAGGGGCTCTTAGCACTCAAGACAATGATCTGGACAAACCTACCCAGAGAGATTTGTTTACAGTGTAGTTGGCTAGGCAGTAGGTTCCGGCTGCCATTATAGATGGGGTGTACTGTAGGAATGGATCAATTTCCAGTAGGCTTAGCTCTGCTACATACTAGAAGCAGAAAAAAAGACCACATCAAAATATGATCAAGGGACATGGAAAACTGTAATGTCAAAGGCAGCGGGGATAAACCTATAGTCTGGCTAGCATTTGAGTTATTGAGTATGCTCACCAGGGCAAGGTTCTCTGTGTTGGCACAGACAGAGTGGATGGACATGAAAAGCCTAAGGAACTGGTTTGTGGTGGGGGCTGCCATGTTGAAAGCCAGCACTTTTAGGAAAACGTGCTCCATCCGCACTAACTGATTCTTAGTGTAGGTGCTGTCTGTGATGTACACAAACTCATTCAGCTCAGGAGGGAAGATCTCCTCATATTTTCTACAAGGTGAAAGATCAGGCGTCATCAGGTTATAAATTGACATCAATCATCTGAGCCAATGCTACTCCAATAAGTGGGCTCTTACCACAACCACAAAACAATATATAACAAATCAATAACTGGATGGGAGAAGTATCAAATCTTCGGAAACGCAGACGTGCTTACGCAGCAATCAGTAATGCAGCTGTGCCAACCAGCTGCAGCTTGCCCCGTTTCACATATGCTGTGCAGGAGAGAAAGCGGTCCAAATAGTTGACAGCAAGGTGCAGAGTTTCAGAACGAAGCTTGTATTCCTGGATGACTTCCACCAGCCAGTCCACCAGAATGACCCGCATCTCATTGGTGATCTCTGGATGTTCTCTATGTAGCCTGGGTTTGGCCTGAACCTCATCTGGCATTAGAAACAAAAGTATTTCCAGTGAAACAAGGAGCAAAACCTCCTAACGACAATGTCTTTAATGCTACTTATATACAGTAATGTAAAATAAATTATTTAGTGCTCATAGTACAGATAATTTCGCACTTCACTCTCCCTCAAGTGCCGGTGAATGTCCTCTGAATACTCTGACACACGCAGCACTTCCTCTGACATCAGGGATTCATCTTGTTCAGACTGCATAGAAGCATCCTGGCATGAACCTACAAGAGCAAACAGCAGTCGGGTAAAGTATAACAAAAAAGTCTACTAAACATACCAGGTGTTTTGGTTTTTGCCAAACTCACTTGAACTCAGCTCCAGCAGGAGACGCAAATCTTCATTTCGCAGGGCAGCAATTTCGGCATCTGTGTAATAGCTGTCCGAGACCACTTCTTGGCCAGAGGTGGCAAGAACAACTTCACAAGCCTCTTCAACATACACGTCATAGCTGGAACTTGAGGGACAGCCGAGGAAGGCGAGCTGGGAGCTGTCTGAGATCGAACTGTGTTTGGAAAATTGGCTTCCCTGTGGATTGCCAGGTTAAGTTGAAATTTGAATGCTCTGAGAGGGGAAAGTGAATTGAAAATCACAAAGTTTCTGCCTCTCCGGCTTACCTGGCTGAGGGGTCGACAGCGCTGCTCATTTTCTGACAACACACCGAGCACTGTGCGCTGCTTGGTCCGCTGGGCCTGCAGTGCATCTGTTTTGCTTGATGGTGCACTATTCTCTTTGCTGGTGTGACTGCCGCAATGGGCATTTTTACTGGAGTTCATCTTTAAACAAGGACATGGGGAAAAATAACGTTAAAGAAAACCTGGCCAACATGGTGTTAAGGTTGTAAATTATTACATATACACCTGAAAGTTAGACCATATTATGTTGATTTGTCAATTTCCTGTATAATAGGCCTGTGGTTCCCAACATGGAGGTCAGGACCCCGAAAGGGGTTGTAAGATAAATCTGAGGGGTCCCAATATGATTAAAATGATAGCAAACATGAATAACAATTACTGTTACTTAATTTAATTACTTGCTTTTTACTGTGAAATATTGGATTGTTTTAGCTCTTCTGGCCTCTAAAAATGATTTAAATGAAACAAGGTTTACTATAATAAATGGAGAGCATCAAATCTTCACACTGGGACCAGTGAATGTTTGGCATGAAAAATGACTGGAATGATTAATCGATTGCTGAAAACAGCAATTTCGATTCACTGATTAATAATTTCAGTTCTGCACATAAAGCTCCAAAAACAAATCAAGAAACAGAAAAATAAAAGTAAGTACTAGTAGTCAACTTTTACTGGACAATGGTCTATGTTCCACATTGGCAAAAAAGAAAAGAAAAGTGTGGAAAACCAGTGAGTCCTGCAGTGTGAAATTTGGTGGACAAGTCTAAATTCTGAAGGTGGAAATATTATCACCATGGTTACAAGAATATATCAGTGTCCATCAATCACAGATAAAGACAAACGATGGATGTCAGACGGAAAACCAAGGCTGCAAACGAAGTGCATCACCTCAGTGTATCACAGAGCACAGCCCAGCTATTGTTTCCTGTGGGTTTCACATATTTAACTATCATCCATCATCTGTTCCTAACTGCAAACTCACCATAATCAGGATGAACGTAGTTAACAGTTTTACGGTTAGGATAGGAAGGTGGGGAAATTTCACTGGCGACCCAAACGGATTGATTGCCAGCAACTTCCTTATTTGTCGCTTATCTGGAGACGATCAGCGACCTCTTGCTGCATTCAAGCGACCTAAAGCAGCTTCCTGGATGTCCTTTGTCAGTCCAGCCGGGGGGGGCTTTTTTTCAGGTTGTCTTGTAAACGGATCAGCTTCCTCCGAACGGCTCTCTGTCCAATCACTTGCCCGAACACAACAGCGGACAGTCAACGACGTTGTGCGTCAGGAATCCCTCACTGAGCTACACATTTAAATACATTAATTTAATTTTATAAGGACTTTGTTTTGACAACAGTTTTGCACGACTATCTCTAGTACAAGTACCTGGTTTGTAGTGCATCACATGGATAACTTTCTCTTGCTTGCACTTAAGCAGACAGACAGACATCTGTATTGGGGATTTAATATCAGAAAGTCCAACAACTGTTTGTGAATTTAATGGTGTTTCTCACTATGATGTCAACTGGCACATAGCTTGGACACCACCACTTCACCTCAACAAGTATTTTTTGTTAAGTTGTCTTACTATTAACTACAGATGCTAATACCGCAATAAAGCAATCTCTCAGCCTACTGCTGTCAGAAATGCTGCTTTTATAACATAGAGAACTTAATTATTAGCTGTCCACATACTGAGAAATGTTGTGAATATTTATAACATTTATACTTGTCAGAGAAACTCAATGTCAACATATACACTGAGGATCTTTTTCTACTGTTTTATTATAAGATGAGAAGTAAAAAGCCAAACTTACCAATTTGTCTTATGGATGTGAACAAAAAAGGAAATGCATCAGTCACTGGATTGTCAACCTTATGTGACTTTATTCATTTATTTATTTTCCTTTTACTATAATTTGTCTTTCTTGTACATATTTTCACAATGTTAGCTTATGTTATGTTCCCTTTGGTTTAGAATATGATTCTTAGAGGACACATTCACCCTGCTGGGCTTAAATCAGCTACATTGTTTGTGTGGGGTGTTATGTCAACAGCACAGAAACGTCTCGGGTTACGTATATGTAACCCTTGTTCCCCGAGAAGGGGAACGAGACACTGCGTCGGTCCGCCACACCTCACCCCGCCTGGAGTGCCTTGCTTCATAGAAAGGGCTAATGTGTCCTATGTGCCGGCGTGCTTATATACCCCCTCCGGTTACGCCGTCACACACTACCGTTCTAGTAACACCAATAGGATTGGAGTAGTTTCATTCATAGTTCAGCCCTGCCACGCCCAGAGGCGTTCCCATAGTGTCGTCACCGACGCAGTGTCTCGTTCCCCTTCTCGGGGAACAAGGGTTACATACGTAACCCGAGACGTTCCCCTTTGAGGGAACTCGAACTGCGTCGGTGACGACACTGTGGGAACGAGATACCCACTTAGGCCGCGCTGAATCCCCACCTGCCCCCAGCGTGCAGAACCTGACTGCACGACTAAGAGGAGAGCGCACGGGTGCTGGGTGCAG